ACAGGCTATGGAACCCTGAAGAAAACAAAATAGTCCATGCAAGAGATGTAGTTTTCGATGAGAATAAGAATCAGAGGAATGTAACCAACATAGATATAAATGATGACATAAGCCAACAGAATGAGACAACAGAAGATTTAAAGGAAGACTTGAAAGAAGAAAGAGAGGAAAATGTTGAAAATATAGAAGAAACTGGGAAAATAGAAAAACTTGAAGGAACAAATAATGAAAATAGACGGAACAGTACCCGAATTAGACAGAAACCACGATATTTAGACAAATACAACCTGGATTTTGAAGAAAATTTGATGATGGCTATATCAGCTGGAAATTTGATAACAGATGTACCACAGACTTATGAGGACGCAGTAGAGGACAGCGGATGGAAGACAGCTATAGAAGAAGAACTGAATTCAATGAAAAAAATGTCAACTTGGGAATTGGTATCACCTCCTCAACATCAAGAGATTATAGATTCGAAGTGGGTATTCCGGAAGAAAAGTGTTAACGGAACTGAAGAGAAAAAAGCGCGTTTAGTGGCTCGTGGCTTTCTTCAGAGTGAACTCAATGGAAATGTGTATGCGCCGGTCGCCAGAATGTCAACTATTCGTGTTTTGTTGTGTCTGTATCTCGAATCAGACATGTGTGTGCGACAGGTGGATGTCAATTCAGCCTTTCTTTATGGAGATCTTGAAAAACCAGTGTATATGCGGCAGCCCAAGGGACTTGACGGTAATCCAAAACTTGTATGTAAGTTAACCAAATCTTTATATGGTCTCAAACAGGCACCCAAATGTTGGAATAATTTATTTCACAAAACTATAACTGATTTAAATTTACAAAGATCTATGAAAGATCCTTGCTTGTATTATAAAAATGAAACGTTCCTTTTACTCTATGTTGATGATATATTCTCAAAAAGTTTAGAAAATATTGTTACAGAATTAATTGTCTGAAATTTTCAAAATGAAGCTATTTAAAAATACACAGATGAACTTCTTGGGACTGGAAATTAAAAACGTTAACAACGATATTACTCAAAAAGGTCTAATTGATAAGATTTTATATAAATTTGACATGTTTGATTGTGAATCATCAGAGACTCGAATGCAACCTAAGCTTAAACTAAGCACACCCGATAATAATATAATAAATAATTTACCATACAAGGAGCTCATAAGATGTCTTATGTATGTTATGCTAGGCTCTAGGCCTGATTTAAGCTATTGCATAACTTACTTCAGTCAGTTTCAGAATAATTATTCTCATGAGCATTGGTTGTTGATTCAGACTTTACAAACTGTACAAACGATAGGAAAAGTGTAACAGGTTTTATTATCAAGTTAAACAATAATGTTGTATCATGAAGGACTAGAAGGCAAAATACTGTTTCACTCTCCAGTGCTGAGGCGGAATCTGTTGCACTTTCTACCTGCATCGCTGAAAACATATTATATCAAATGCTTTGTGAAATTTTAAGTAAAAATGTATTTCCCATATGTGTTTTTGAGGATAACATGTCTTGTATCAAAATGGCTTCAACACTTGAGTCAAAGAGAACAAAACATATAGATGTGAGGCATCATTTTGTTCGAGACTGTATCATGAATGGTAAAATTAATTTGAATTATATTTGCACTGAAAAGCAGGAAGCTGATATGTTCACAAAATCGCTTTCAGCAAATAAGTTTAAATTTTTCAGAAATTTATTAAACATTGTATCTTTAGAAACTTGAAATGTTTAACCTATGTTTTATTTTGACATTTGTCACATTTATTTGAAATGGTAATGTGTTATTTCATTTTGTAGAATTTTGATTTACTTTTGTTTTTTTCAATACATATTCACTTCTGTATTTTTTTTGTATTAGTAGTTTGCGAGTTTTAAGTATTGGAGGGGAGTGTGGTAGAATGGGTGTCGCCATCTATGATGCAATACACCAAACTCGTAATGTTGGAGTTGGCAAAACAGCTCTCTAGCAAAACCTAGATTTAAGTTTAGTTGGCAACACTGTTTGTTGTTCAAAATATAAGTTTGACATGTCAAGTAAAAGATGAGTTGTTGTTTTGATTTTGCACGAATGTTTTTGCATTATTTTCGAAACTTTGGGATAATTAAAGAGTTAAATCAAACTCACAAAGTTCGTTTTATTTACATGAAAAACGTTGCACACCCATAGGACCCCATTCTTCTAAAAAACAACGATGGCTCACCAAACTGTTACCTTCTTGGAATGCAATTGTTTTGGATGCTGTTTTTTCGGGTTGTCAGAGACCGAATACCCTCTAGGTGGAAATAAGTCTCATCACTGAATAAAATGTTGTTTAATAGTTTTAGAAGTTTTATCGTCTGTTATAAAGTTTACAGTGTGTTCAGTTTTAATGGCATGCAGACGTTTCAATTAAAATTGATGAAAAATTTTCTTGCCTCGACTAGGATTGGACCATCGCATATCTAGTGCAACGCTCTACCAACTGAACTACCGAGACCTGTTTCATTTCTACCTTTTCGATTAATTCTTTCATCAATTTTAAGTTGTTAGTTGTGAAGACTAACGGCAACCTTCGGCGGTTACCATTGGTATGGGAGTGAGTTAGAAGGCATAAGGGGAACAAATTCACAATTAATGGTTGTTTTGAATCCTTTATTCCTGCATGCCATTAAAATGGAACACACTGTATTAGTTATTTATGTATCAAGGGAATTATGGTGGGTATTAATACCCCAGGGAAAGTTTGTGTCCCGAGGGCCTCCGCCCCGAGGGACACCAATTGCCCGTGAGTATTAACACCTGATACTTCCCGTGGTATACAGATAATTTTATTACCTACTGAATTTACTGTATTTTGTCTATTTTTATAAAGGAATAATCCATAAACCAAAATTTCTATTTTTTTCAAAGTTTCACCTATTCAAGGTAAAAGCAGTAGTTATGGAAATCCTTAACTCCCGCGACCTTTTTTATGATTATCGTAACCAAGGCATTATATGGTTATAATAGTTCAGTAGGATATAATAGCTATTTATGTACCAAGGGGATTATGTAGGCGAAATATATACCTCGGGCCAGAGGCCCTCAGGCTAGTTCGGGCATTATAATCTAAAAATCCCCGTGGTGTAGACAATGCTTTATTTTCTACTCAACACAATGTTCTTCCATCAATTTAGTATCAAACAAAATCAGTTAAACTTAGTGACAGAATATTGTTTTGTATTTTGACATATACCTACCTGTACCTAGAAACGAAACAATTCAATATATCTATAAACATCTCAGAGGCAAGACAACGGTGGTCGTGTGGGTTATCGCACTCGAATACATGGAAACGTTTTCGGTCGGAAATTTAGTGGCTGCTTAGGGTAAAGTGCAAATTAATAAAACAACAACAACAACAAAAACACCTCACGGTATTATAAGCGGGCGTTATAGATCATAACGCCCGCTGGGTTTATAATACCCTCAGGTTGTTATAGGTACCTATGTTACCGTATTTCGTTTCCTAGGTATTATGGATCTATAATAGTTAAGTAGAAAATAAATTATATAGACGATAAAACTTCTAAAAATTTTAAAATTATTGGCTTGATAGTGATGGTTGGGCGACCCACCCTGCTGAAATCACTATATAACGAAGACGCATCCGTTGTTAAAGGGATAATGGATTCCAAACAACCATTAATTGTGAATGTGCTCCCCTTATACCTTCTAACTCACTCCCATACCAACGGTAACCGTCGCAGGTTGCCGTTGGTCTTCACAACTAACAAGTTAAAATTGATGAAAGACTTGATCGACAAGTTAGAAATGAAACAGGTCTCGGTAGCTCAGTTGGTAGAGCGTTGCACTGGATATGCGAGGGTTCTGGGTTCAAATCTTAGTCAAGGCAAGAAAATTTTTCTTCAATTTTAATTGAAACGTCTGCATGCCATTGAAATTGAACACATTGTTATTTAATAGCCTACTTCTTCATCTCAAAATATATTCATCATTCATTATCCAGGCGACTATGCCCAGTTCAATGTAAGAATTGATCAGCATGAATGAGTTCCTGTTAAAAACCTCTTTTTTTAAACACCCTAAACAAGAACCGAGTTCCGAACCGCTTAGAAATGATCAATTAAAACGTAAAAGCTAGTGACATCGAGCCGTTTCTCTACTTGAAGGAAACCGACAATAAATCTCTTACAAACTGGAGAAATAAAAAATCCGGCAAGTAAAGAAAGACACCGAGAACAATACCTATGAAGGACGTAGTTAGTAAATAAGTCAGTTATTTCAAATAAGATAAACTGTTGTATAAATTCAAGTAAAAGCGATAAGTGAGATTTGTAAAGTCAACTAATTCAATAAATTTAGTTACAATACTGATGTCGCTTATGGCTTGTGTAATAACAACTACACCATTATACGCTTTTTAAATAATGTACTATTGTAGTCTACAACAACAGCCTGAAAAAAGCACAAGTTCTAAAGTAATATCAGCAAAGCAAGAGTCGAAAACTGGAAAGCTCTTCAGCCTGCAGTAGAAGATTTTGATAGAAAAAATATAAAATAAAACGGATTTATACTTTTGTAGTTTTGAGTACCTAACTTTGAAGTCGTAATTTTTAAAAAAATATAATAACAAATTGAGTAAGATATTTTTGGTAAATCTCTTTCACTCGAATAAATTAAAAGAAGCAGCTTACGCTTTTGGGTTAATGATGAAAAAAGAGCTTATCTGATAAGTTCCGTGAAAACGGGCTTCTCAAAGTCCAAACTCGCGGACCCAAAAACGATCAAAGAAATAATTAAGTCCCCAAAAACTCCGCGCGCTATGCTTTCGCTTGAGCATTCCTTCCTTTTTATGACTAACCTGCTTATTAATTTATATGGCTTGTTAACGAAAAATCCGCTTACGTTCTTTTGTTTCTTTCAAGAATCTTACATCGACTATAATATTTTAAATAAATCCCGAACGGGACTAATCAACTAACTTCAAACAAACGAAAAAATTACCTGAAGAAGATTCTTCCTTGACAGAATGGGGCGACACTGTGTTATCTAAGGGTGTAGACGATAGGGCTGGTTGGGGTGTGGACGTTCGTTCAGCGGAATCTCTACTAGTTCTTCCTGTTGCTGATGAGGGTGGCGTTTTACTGTTTCTGGTTAAAGCTAAAGCTTGGCTCTAGAACAAAGAAAAATTGCTGATTAAATTTGATGTATATAACTAGAGCACATAATTGCATTGGGATAAAGACAAGTTCGTATAAAAATATGTGTCTTCAGTTTCAATAAATTACGTCATTTTGATAAACAATGTGTTTCAAAAATCCCGGAATGATTCCACATAGTCCAAAAACGGCTGCGAAAATTTTTCCTCAAGATGTATCTGAATCATAAGGTCTTTCCGGGACTCTTGAACAAAAGTTAAGGGATAGAAACTTTATAGAATATAGATCAGAAATTAGATTCTATCTTCTCTTCTTTCTTTTTTTTGGCGCCGTCACGGGAATATAACAAGTTTTATGCACTTGATAATCGAGTCTTCAGAAATTCAAATTGTCCTTTTCCATATAAGTTTTTGACATTGAGAATTTGCAACATTAATAGTTTTTTCTCCATATAAAAATTCGTACCTACTTTAATAAGTGCCTGGATCTTAGATCGATAATCACGTTTCGAAAAATAGACACTATTATTAAGCTAGCTACGATTTTTGTAGATATGAGTAGGTGTTGAATCTTTCAAAAAAGTTTCTTTTTCGAAACCTTTCTCACGCAACTTAACTTTTTGGTCTAAGATAGGAATATAACAGAAATCTCCCAAACAAGGTGTTAATTTTGTCTGTTATATAAATCTGGCTACGAATTTATCTTCATTTACTGTGCTAATCTGGGTTAAGTGGGGTCAAACACCAGTAATGAATTCCCGAGTAAATACTATGCGATTTGCAGTCCAGATAAAGGTGAGAATTCGAAGTTTTGGTTTTATATATTATGTATACGCGGAGACCGATATTTTGTATATAGGTAGTCAATGAAATAAAATGGAATATCATAAATAAATTAAGTATATTATATATGTGATGTTTCAGGCAGGAAAACCAAAACTTATAGTAGGTATAGATGAGAGTTTTCGATCCTCTTTATAGAACTCAAAATTTGAGCATTTTTCAAAAATGGCTAAAATATATATCTGCTCCGAGAGAGGGCTGATAAAGTATATAATTTTGATACGGGACGGATTTGAGGTATTCAAAAAACATATTTACGAGGTCAAATTATAACCTATATGTCCTCATCCAAAAACTCTACCATCAGGTTCCGATTGTGACTTAGACCATGAACTCCATATTTGTGAACTTCAGCTTAAGCTGAAGATAATATGTCCACGTTCTAAACGGAATCTATCAACAGATATAGTTGACCCTGCCTCTTTTCTCAGCTTTCTCGGAGTGCCTTGATAGCGGATGAATCTCTTTCTAATAATATGTAGTTAACAATAAAAAATGTTTTTACACAAGCTGCCCCAACAACTCAACCAAAACGCAGCACTGAATCTAAACAGTCATGAATTACCACCCGTACATTGTCCGTCATTGGAGCTTGTAGAGAGCTTAAGATCTCAGGTTTGGATTCTGATGCAAAGCACGATCGGTAATGATAAGATAAGAACTTCTCTCTTCAGGAATTGAATTATGTTCGAGATATAGGCTCACGCTAATACAGGCCATCCAGGAGAGATGTACCTTAAAATTAAATGTCTCTGTCGGGACTTAAAACCCAAAACTTGGTCAGTTGAGAACGCCGATGGAAATCTCATCACCAGCTTGGACGAGGTCATCGAGGTGTGACGTACATATTGTGAGAACTTTTATTCCGATGTTAACTTTCAAGCCCCTTTGTTGAAATACGAACGCAAGCCGGATATTCTTTTTTTCGGAAGTGGATCATTCCGTTAGGAAACTAAAAGCCAGTAAAGTGACAGTCAATGATGCCCTTTCTGCCGAAACTCTAAAGTGTTTGGATGATGACAGCCTACATTTTTTACATCGTATTTGCAGGGACACTTTATTCGTTAGGACAATTAGGTCATGTCCTACGGGCCACTAGAGAATGAAGGCCAATTGCTGGCCTTTAATTTATAATATAAAATATAAAAGCCCACTATACTGAAAACATCGACTTGTTTAATAGCAGGACTAGCATATATTTCAATACTCTTTAATTCTTATAATTCACACTGGGTCACATTTGGTTTGGCCAGAGTGCACTGCCTGACGTCACGATACTCTGGAATCGCTCCGCTCGCTCCATCGAGCATCAATCCAGAACACGCCCTGGAGTGACCGAGCTGCGCTGAATCGCCGTCGCGTCGCGTCATTAGCGCAGCACGAGCACGTGGCAACTGGCAACGACTACAACAGGAACCTGTTAGTGTTTGCACTGCTTTGCCAAATTGTAAGTTTCTTTGAGCTCCTTCTGGAGCATCCAGGGACTTGAGCAGTGTCTTAAGGGTCCAGTGTAACACGGAGTCGTGTCTTATTGTTGTTGAGCTTGTAGGACATGCACAGGCAACGTGGTACGAATTTTCCTGAGAGTTGCAACCCTCTATACATCTTTTCCTCGCTAATGGATTTGATCCCAAGACATGCAGCTGTTCTTTCGAAGCACCCATCATTACACTTAGTTCCCAGCGACCCCAGCATCCATGTGGTGATTGGTAGGCTGGGAGCTCAATGCCATCATTTTCTTTCAGGACGTTCCGACCATATAGCATGTTTTGTGACCATTCTTGTTCCATCACCTTGTAGTACCTTTCTTTGATTTTACCGAATACTACTTGGCAAAATTTTTTGTCTTTATATTCTGCCAGGTTAGTAGTTTGAAATCGTCTAAATGATTTTATCAAATCCTACAAAAAAGAACAATCACTCATGAAAGGCCATACCAAATAATTGACCTACGGGCCAGAGAAAGGTTAAAGCGTCACTGCGTATTTGTCAGAAAGTTTGGTTCTCCAGTATCTGAGCAAACGAATTGAGCACTTAAATCTTTGTTCCACTTCATAAAAAGGGATCTCCGGTAAACCCAGATAATTTTCGTTTACTCTCATTGACCTGTCATTTAAGCAAGATTATGCTGTATATTCCGCAGTCTCGTTTCAAGGGTTTTATGGACTGGCAAATATCTCCAGAGCATGCAAGTTTCGCAAAGGTACGTTTACACGCGAACCGATCTTGAACTTGAGGCAGATTATTGATAGAGCCAGAGAGCATTACTTTCCAGTCCAGATTTGCTTTGTGGACTACTCTAAGGAGGCGTTTGACAACGTAATGTGGCCTTAACTATGGGAGATTCTTCTGTCTATGGAAGTTCCTCACCACCTGATATTTCCCATACAACAGCTCTATAGTCCAACACAGCTCAAGTAAGAATTGACGGGTAACATGTCTGATCAGACTACAATAAGAAAAGGAGTTCGTCAGGAACGTATGTTATCGCCGATATTGCTCAACATCTATTCCGAATTTGTGATGAGACAGGAACTGGACGGTTGGCACGGTGGTGTAACTCGTGGTGGAATCAAGATATCTAATTTTTGGTTTGCTGACTGTTATTGTCGTTTCTCAGGATGGATTGTTAAACTTACTTAACATCTTAGAACAACATAATGCAGCATGTGGTCTCAGTATCAACTGCAATAAGACAAAGGTCATGATCGTTGATAGAAAACATGACAATCATCCTGAAAAAAACATAAGTAGGCCGTTGTCAGGTAATCCAGAGTTTGTAGAACTCGGTTCTTCAATCGACAATTCGGGTCAGGTGGCTGCGAGGTTGACATGCTTCGGCGAATTCAACAAGCACGGTTAGCTATCACAAGACTAACCAAAATATGGCGTTCCAATAATATCACGAACGCCACCAAAATGTCGCTTGTCCGGTTTCTTGTCTTTTCCATATTTCTGTATGGCTCTGAAACTTGGACTGTTAGAAAGGAAGATCGCTGCAGCATAGACGCATTCGGAATCTGGACTTGGAGGAGAATGCTAAGGGTATTCCTTAGACTGCTCACCGAACTTACGTTTTCATATTAAAGAAGTAGGAAATCCAAAAGGACTATCCCCTATTGTTTCAACGCGTATCCTGACGTTCTCCGGTCCAGTGGCGCTGCCAGACATTTTGTCTGAGGGATCCCATGCAGAGAAAATTATAGAAATATACACAGACACACTATCCCTTAAGCTTTTTATGACATGAATAATTTACAGCTTTTGTCTACTTCATTATTTTTCTATTTTCCTCTGAAGCCCCCTGGCCGTGCCCCTGCTTCGGCTATATCCATAGAAGTGATATCGAACATATCGAAGAACTTGTTGTTCAGGGTTCTCGAAAGGACGGACTTGTGGCCGTTCTCCTACACGCTGGGTGGATGCGACGGAATCATTCTGCATATGCGCATGTTATAAAACGCGTTTTTGTTTTTTCAGAATCGCAATCGAACTGTGTTGACAGCGTTTTGGTTTATTTGGAACTATATACTTACTGTCCGTCGATTTTAATCTGACACTCCAAAGTAATCCAAAGGAATGTGAGCTCAGGGGCGCCCACAGAGAGTATCCCCTGAAAATCTCCTAAATTTCAATTATTTTTCCTGAAATTTGTATTTAGGCGGAAAAGTGACACATTCTGTAGCACTAGTGCGTAAAGTAATTCACTTCACACACTAGTGCGTAGAGTAATTTCAATGACAGATGTCGACACTGTCAATTTAGTATTTTTCTAGTAAATTACTCCAAACACTAGTGCGTAAAGGGAAAATACCTTACGTACTGGACCCCCCCTCTAAATATTTTTCTGGGGGCGACCCTGTGTGTGTGTGTGAGCTGGTGACTCCTTACGTTGAAACGCCAATGGTCATCTGACACCTGTTTTTGCGATATGCTTCACCCCCTCGCTCCTCATACGGAAAGTGTCAGATTAAAAATGACGGGCAATAAAAACAATTCTGGGAATTGGTTCTGGTTCTTGCTCTGGAGGAGGAGCTGTTTTGGAATTTCGTGATTTTCAACTAGTTTTTGTTTTTTTTTTGGTCCCGAATCGGTTCATAATTAGTATTAGAACAGTCCTCCATTATTTTTTGTTCGCACTCACAAGCAGTTCTGCGATTGCGCAGAACTGC